ATATATATATATATATATATATATATATATATATATATATATATAGCTAGATGTGTACAAACAAAACATATATAAAAGTTTCCTTTGGTGGGCCAACTAGAAACCACTTGGACATTACTTGGTGCATGGCTATAACACGTGTGTGTGTAAGCAGAGCAAGTAATGGGTTTGGTGTCCTTTTCTTTTGTGTGCGCTGGAGATAAGGAAGCATGTGGTGGCCTAGGAAAATACTTAGATGTCTTTGAGGGTGGCCACATTGCTCTCCTTAATTATGGCGGTGCCATGTGTAAATGAGGAAAGGATGAGCTGCCATTCTTGTAGGAAACATGACCAGTAGATTAGATTGAATTTTGCAAATACTACCATGCTAAGAAAGCGTAAATTAAATTATTGAAGTTATGAGGCTAAAATTTAAGTTGCTGAAATCAATAGATAAAAACAAGCGGATAAATCTAATTGTTAAAATTCAAGCTGTAAATTAATGTTTGATGCTAGAATTTTTATATAAAAGCTGAAATAGTTTCCTTTTAAGTGTTGACAATAATAGTTAGATGAATGGTGGTGTTATTTACATACTATAAAAAAATATTAGAGTGAATTAAAGTAGTTTCTAATATGACGGAGATATAATAATTTGAAAAGATTAACGAAGTCAAAATATGATCATCGTATACAACCAAAGTAGAGCATCAAATATATATTCATATGCATTCATTTGCATCAATTGAGTAATTTTAAGTCGATGCTCACTTTCATTTGCAAATATGCTACTTATTAGGGTCGGAGGCTACTACCTCGGTTGCTTATAGAGATTGACTATAAAGTGAGGAGGGGTATCTGTCAAAGATAAATGTGAAGTGTACTGCTTCATAATACTTGAAAATAAGTATGTGAGAAATCAATTTTGCCAAAATGATTTGAGTTGATTTGCTTAAACTATGGNTTTAGGAGGTAAGTGTAATTACTTAATATTTTTATGCGAGTCATGCATGAAATGGGGCATAAATTTGTATAACACATGTAAATTTCCATTAGATACGAAGTAAATATTATTGGGGTTAAAATATATGTTTAGATTATATTATAGATAATGGGTGAGAAGTAGAAATAATAAAACATGAATTAGTGTTTGATTTTAGCTCCAAAAGATGGATGAATGGCGGTTGGTGAGGTTTTTCCATTTTGGTGGGTTATTGTCTAGTTCAATTGTGTGTATATATAGGAATATATATATAGCTAGATGTGTACAAAAAAAGATATATAGAAGTTTTCTTTGGTGGACCAACTAGAAACTACTTAGACATTACTTGGTGCATGGCTATAACACACGTGTGTGTGTAAGCAAAGCAAGTGATGGGTTTGATGTCCTTATCTTGTGTGTTTGCTGGGGATAAGGAAGCATGTGTGGCTTAGAAAAATACTTGGATGTCATTGAGGGTGGCTACGTTGCTCTCCTTAATTATGGGGGTGCCATGTGTAAATGAGGAAAGGATGAGCTACCATTCTTGTGGGAAACATGAAAAAATAAGGGAAACAAAATGAATAGGAAAGCACAAAGGGCAGACTGACTTGGTGAGAATTAACCGGAAAAGAAAAAAAGAAGAAACGGAGGGATGAAGTTGAGATCAAGTGGTGAAATTGGGTTTTGCTATAATCAAATCAGTAAGCAATAATCGGTAAGGAAATTTAATATCTTGTTTTCAATTAAAGCAGTATCAATGTGCTAGATTAAACTTACATGGAGTATGTAAATATTAAGTATGTTTTAATAATTATCTTGCATGAAGTTAAGAATTTATATGTTTAAGAATTATAGNTCGTATACAACCAAAGTAGAGCATCAAATATATATTCATATGCATTCATTTGCATCAATTGAGTAATTTTAAGTCGATGCTCACTTTCATTTGCAAATATGCTACTTATTAGGGTCGGAGGCTACTACCTCGGTTGCTTATAGAGATTGACTATA